CCCCCCCCCCCCCCCCAAAAAAAAAAAAAAAAAAAAAAACAAAAAAAAAAAACATTCCCCTATTTCTCATCATCATCATCATCATCATCATGTTTATTATTATTGTTGTGTGTTGAAATAAAGAACATTTTAATCTAAATCCCTTTAGGCCTACATTTATTCGTTTTTCTTGCGCAAGTTATCAATATGAAAACTGCGCAGATCTGGGCCTCCAGTATATGTAGGCCTACTGTAGCTTTGAGAACATATAGCCTACGCCTACATGAACGTACGCATGCTTGTAAACATGCATCTACACACACATTACCAAGCGGTGAACAAGAGAAGTTTTAATAAGCTTATCACTTGACTTTTCAAAGATAATTAGAGTCTATATTAATCCACTATAAAGCCGAAAATACATTAAAAGTACCTCATCGGTTAACCCAGTTGATACAGCAGATGGGACACTTCGACGGTATAAGTTAATAAATCAGTTAAACTTTAACTAAGGCGCGTGCCTGCCGCGAGGCAGATTTAATCGTATTGGTCAAGATTTGTTTAAACTTGTAAGTTTCAGATAGAAGATTATCTATTTAATTTCCAATAAACACCTCAAATTATCTCGGCGTGACAAATTGTAGATAGACTTATTGGTTTATTGTTAAATATTAAATGTATTACTCATAAGGGTTATATATTACTGTCTTATCAATTCCCAATACATTGGTCCACCCAAAACATAAACATTTATATATGTATATTAATCGTAAGAAAAGCACCGAAAGCGCCTTGTCTTCTATAAATGATCACCTAAAGGTCTTGAACTATTAGGAAAACCCTCTAATATGACTGGCAATAACTTACTTATTTGACATGATGTTTGAGATACAGTTCGTGTACACAAAATTTGTCGGGGCGTGATTGAGTAAGTGCATTATTTTTGTTCAGTTGTTCTATTCGAAAGCAAGGGCCATATCGTATCAAACACGATGTTAAAACTTTCGATTAGGAACCATGACGTTAAAGAGAGTGCAAGGACGATGGGTTTTTATCATGGTTTTATGCTACCTGGTACATTCTCTCTCTCTCTCTCTCTCTCTCTCTCTCTCCAGCATGACTAAAGTTACTGATGTAGGTTACCTCATTATCTTTCCACGCGACTGATGACTTCGATCACATAACAATATCTGCCCAAATTTCGACCAGTCTCTCCAATCCCCGATATATAATCATCCCAACCAATTAAACTGATTATGTCAAACCAATCATCAGAACGTACCACGCTTCTAGACTGCATGATAGAGAGCATGATTAGATGAGTGAGTGAACGCCGATAACGTAGGGAGCGTGCACAAACCATTGCCCTGGAAACCGACAAATAGCGCCGCTGTCGCCCTACAACAGATTGTATGCGGTTTGAATATAGCCTTCATTTAGAAGCATAGATATATTATCTAGACAGCCTTCAGTCGTAAAGATACGGTTGTATAGCGTTTTAAACAACAATCTACCTATTCATTACAGTGTCTGATCCAGAGAAAGGGCACAGTGGCCACGTACCGTACCTCACCCCACTTAGCTTTGGGGGTATTCCCTTCTACCCCCTCCACCTACCCCCAACCCCCAATGAAAACCAACCGACCAACAAACAAACAAACAAAACAAAAAGCAATATAACCAGCGAAAAGAGACCAAAGTAAGCAGTTTCCATCCCTGAATCCAACATATTACAGAAAAATTATGCTCGTCTAGTACCTGTAGACCTTGTTTGCCTCGTTTCGCTCGGCAAAAAAATCTTTGTACAGATTCCTTTCATCATGATTTCAATCTCTCTCTCCCTCTCTCTCTCTCTCTCTCTTTAAAATTGAAAAGAGTAATATCAGGATGAATATCTCCCATTGTCCTTGAACGTTATACCGTATTATCATGCTAAGAATATACTTATGTTTATTTTCACAATTTTTACTACTTTTATTGTATTTCCACATATTTCTGTATAAACAGACTTTATCTTTATTTAATCTAATTGAGAAATTGGGTCTGCATACCCCTTACCCACCCTGAGCTTCAGAGCTAACTTGACACTAACCTTTTACTTGACACGATGGAGAATAGGCTACAGTGAAAAGGTTAGTGTCAAGTTAGCTCTGAAGCTCAGGGTGCCCTTACCTGACTTGCGGCTCACCTGTCGTCATCAGCGCGTATCAGGGAAGATATCTGAGTTTGGGGTACTACGTGAGATATAATAGGGGCAACTTTGCAAGGGTGGACGAGACTAGGGTATGAGATTACCTAAGTCTGATATTGTGTATATACTAGTAGGAAGTAGATATTGATATGTAAAGTATTTTACATTTACCTGTCTGTCAAAATAAACCCCCACAAAGACACTTGTGTGGCGCAATTGTAAAAATCCCTACAGTTGGATTTGATGAATGACTGTCAAAATGTGCAAAATGTAGATGGACAAAAGTGTTAATATGACAGGACAGTACGTGACGTCACAAGCAGCTATTCGACCCGACAGAAAAGAGGTACAGGTGTCAAAAATTAACTCATTCATTTCTCAAATAGAGTGCCTCAATATATCTGCTCAAAACAGTTTTTATGCCATATTAAGGGTCAATTCACCAAGTAAAATAATTATCTCCACTTCCCCGCTTCTGATCTGCGCATCTCAGCGTCCAGCCAATCTAAGCAGCTGGTGACGCACGCTTATAACTAATATAAAGCTATCACTCACACATATTTGTATTTATCTATATTTATCTTTTTATTTAGTTATTTACTTTTTCATTTTGATCTTCTGATACATTTTGTGTAAACAGAATCTGTATTACGTTGCAAGTTTAGGCATTTTTACGATTGTATTTACAATCTAATCTTATAATCGATCCGTAAGAATGATTCATTAACTGATTTACAGAATACACGAGATTCCAGACAACATTAAAAATAAACAAATGGATTTTCTAAATCCTCTAGTTTGCATTTTCTTTCCTGCTGTAGTTGAGTATTTGATGACATGATTCCTCTTCCTTTTTCACACCTCAAGCCCCGAGCATTTTGGCCAAGATAGACCAGCTGAAGAATAAATGTGCTAACCAAATCTGTTTCCGTGCTATACTGCCAAACTTTCTTTGACAGAAAAACGAGCGTAGCTCGGGGACGTTATCTAACATTTATTGACCTCATCTTACATTGGTCACTAATCGCAAAGTCCATTTTTGGTAAATAATGATCTACCGGGTTACTAATTTCTTTTCCCCCATCTTTTCGCCTGTATACTCAAAAATTACTACTTTTATCATATTTTGTAGCAATTGTTATATAGCTTTTATGCATCACAAATCGTATATATGAAAATTAGTTAGATAAATAAATCATAAATGAATAACGCATTGATTCTTTCAAGGTATGTATGTTACTTAGTTTTTTTTTCTCTCCGCAGGTATGGATTGAAGTTTGGATTGAGACCAGTCCGAATTAGCCTCCATATAAGAGCAAATGAAATTGCGAGATTCTTCATTCACTCTGCTTTTGCAGGTCTATACATAAGTAGATACAAAAAAGGAGAAGCTTTATTAGAAATAAACGAGAAAAAGCAATTAAAATTGTTCCAAAATAAGACTTCACAGAAAATAAAATGTCGTTTTCTAAAATAGTTTGCTAGATAATCGAATTGTACCAACTGCAACTCGAGGCTTTAGTTATTTAACAAAATAGATTGGAATAAGTGTATAATGAATGTTAATCTGTCAAAAAAACTTTGAAGAGCGTACGTAAGAATAATATTATATTACCTATTGTCACACTCTTTATTTGCAAAATAGTGAATTATTAATCATGGCTTATCAACATTCTCCAGGGACCTTCACTTATGTTCATAACACGTGTTGGGCACTGCTGTTTTGTTGACCAAAGAAGAATACACACGTAGTTAACTTCAAGTGGTGTCCATTGATACAGCATATCACCATGTCCAACCCTTCGACGGCTTTCTTACTACATCTTCCAACCGATCTAAAGCGATAGGTCAATCCATTGGACACGTCAATCGCCCAGGTTATCGTCACGAGGAACTGGACCTTCATACCCGATGGGCTGACCGGTGATTGTAATGAATGGATTGAAGATAACTCCTCTGTCAATAACAAATACATTGTAAAATCGTTTTGTAACAACAGTAACGATTTATTATCATTCACTTGATCTTATACATATCGTAAGTGGCCTAAGTTTATTTCAGTCAAATTTAATTTAATAACTTTTATTACACATATTAACTTTTATACATATTTCATACACCATTGTTTTGCTTATGAGATTTGTACATTTTCACCAAATGCACTTAGTGTAAACATTACGAAATATTTTGTGACAATGTGACAACTAAAATGTTCCCTAACAAATGATGCAAAATCAAATATTTCCCATCTTACCCCCAAAGCGCCTTTACGGATTTGTTATCCTACCCTGTTTAAAATAACGCACACCTTTTGGGAGGCATCTATGTTGATCCCTTTAGTTGCTGTGATACTCCATGAGGCAACACTGGAAAAGTCAGTTAATGCATATCCTCCTCGTTACAGTATGATTTAGATTACACTGAAACAAATGATATATAACGTTTACATGTTTTAATGCGGTATTCTGTTTTATGGTAAGAAACTACATGTCTTGTAACTGGTTCAATATAATT